CTTTTCTAGACTGCCTGGTAAGCCACAACGACAACTCATTACGAACGACAGTTTACAGGAAACCGACACACACCGACAGATTACTAGACGAGTCATCCTACAACCCTACATCACACAAAGCCACAACTATCAGAACTCTAACACGACGCGCACAACTAGTATGTGACTCGACAGACAGCTTATCCGACGAGAACAAATACCTTCACCGTGTTTTTACGAAGAACAACTACAACAACGACTTCATCCGACGAAACACTCACCGACCCACTACCACTACCGAAACAAACGACACCGCAACCCCTACGACTACAGCAACCATACCGTACATAAAAGGCATGTCTGAAAACATCTCGCGCATCTTACTACCCTTCAATATCCGCGTCGCCCACAAACCCATCACCACACTACGTCAGTTACTAACCAACGTTAAAGACAAAGACGAACCGAGGAACAGACAGGGAACGATTTATAAGATCAATTGTTCCGACTGCCAAGCCTCCTACATCGGTGAGACTGGCAGAAACCTCACAACAAGACTGACTGAACACAGACGGGCGACGAGGAAAGGTGATGTCAGCAATCACATTGCTGAACACCATCGACTTACCAACCACAACATTGACTGGGACTCTGCGCAATGCCTAACCTACAGCACTGACTATTTTCAACGACTGACTCTGGAAAGCTGGTTTACTAACTTAGAACAGACTCCCCTAAACAGATGTCAACAACTACCCGCCCCATACAAACGACTCATTCACGACATAAACATCACAAACGACCGAAAAAGAACAACCTAGCTTTACCGACAGACCGAAACAGACCAATCACGACCGACTTACGTCACTTGAGTCTTACAGCCAATAACATCACGGCAAAACCAACCGATCATTTCACACGAACTGGAATAAGAACATTCTACTGACAACAATCATTCACTTGACTCTGATGATGACTTCCGCACAGGTTGTCGAAACGTCAGTCACTGCCACCGACAACAGTCCTTCTCAGGACTACACTCACCTGGACGATCAGACTACACCTTCACAGGATTTATATTATAATCAAAATAAGATTCACGATATTATTTTTCTCAAAGAATAAAACTGTAAAAATCTTCAACCGTTTTTTTCTATTAAGTAATTGCTCTCATCTCTTTTGTTTGTGTGGTTCTGTTTACCCTAATTGTGTTTCCAACGCCTCAGTTAGCCGGATGTTGTTGTTTTCCATAAGCGTGTATCCCAGGGCTTGGATTTTAAGGCCCCTCCTTTTTAATGTTTCTTAACGTCTCTTCTATTTCATTAATCCTGCTACTTTAAATTGTCCAGCTATGCTGATGATAATTAAATTTATTTTAGTGATCACGATCCTGAGGTGGTTAAGTCCGAAATCAATGGCGATCTCGCTATCGCAAGTTGTATAATAATAAGCTAACGCTCAATTCCGAGATATGTAAATGCGGTATTCCTCCAAAAATCTATCCTAGTGATCTTTCCTTTAGTATTAATGATGCGCAGGTTCCAAAAGTAGATGATTTAGAACTTTTAGGGGTAACTATCGATGACTCACCCACCGCTGCATAATTATCAGGAAATTAATCTGATGAGCTGTATAATTGACTTGGCGGACTCTTTCTTGGAGAGTTTTCCGGACGGTTTGCTCGTCTGTGGAGGAGATCTTAATCAGATGGACATTAGCCGTTTTAAATCGCTCTCGGGCTGGCGTCCTTTGGTCGGTTTTCCTACAAGAGGAGAATCGAGCCTGGACAACTTTTTCACCAATAATCCAGACCTGTTCAATTTTTGCTAACCTATACAAATGCTGACGAAGACCGATCATAAGGAGGTGATATTACCACCGGGCATAAAGCTTAAGCCACTTCGATATAAATTTCAACTTAGAGATTGCAGGGAACATCGCAAGGCCAATCTTTACCCTGAACTTGACCAAGTGGATTGGGGGTTTGTACTGGAGGACAACAATGTCGAGAGCGCGGTGACAAGTCTCGAGACAAAAATTCTGGATCTTATCAACGCTTGTATGCCTTTAAGAACAGTTAAAATGTCGTCACGTGATCCTTCTTGGATGAACCCACTTATCAAATATTTGTTGAAGATCAAGGCCAAAGTAACAAGTACTCAAAAAGACCGATTGAAACTTATTAATCAGTGAATTTCTAAAGCTATCATGGATAATAGAGTCCGTTTAAATTCTTCATGTGGTACTATCGGAAGTTCTGAGTGGTGGAAAAAAACAAATACCATCTGTAGCTACAAAACTCCTTATCGTTGCACACTAAGCGAAACAGAGATTGAGGATCTCAATTGCTTTTTCGGTCATTTGTGCACTGACAAAGACTATCACAAACCAGAGTTCATACCCATTCCATCTGACGCCGAAACACCACGCGTAAGCGAAATGCAGGTGTGGAGATCACTCTTGGGTTTAAAGAAGACCGCCACTGGCCCAGATCAGATCCCTTTCTGGATATGGAGGGACCATGCAGAAATTCTTACTCCCGTGGTAACCAAAATATGGAACCTGTCACTTGAAACCCACGTTTGGCCGGGTTCGTGGAAGAGTGCCAATATAACCCCCATTCGCAAGATCGAAATACCCAAGGAAAATGGTGACTTTAGAGGAATAAACATAACCCCGGTTATTGCCAGAGCATTCGAAAAGGTTGTTTATAAGTCTTAAGTCAAGAACATTGTCGAGAGTAGTTTAAGCCCTACAAAGTTTGCTTATAGAGAAGGTGGCAGCTGTACTGGTGCTCTGTTAACAATGCAATATCATATTCTTAGGACTCTGGATCAAAGGAATGCGATGCAGTTAGGATGTTTGCAATGGATTTTAGTAAGGCCTTCGATACCGTCAAACATGATCTTTTATTTTGTAAACTGAAACTCTTACCACTTAATCCGTATATTTTGAATTGGTATTTAAGCTTTCTTACTGATAGGAGACAACGGGTTGTCTGCAATAGAATTGCTTGTGATTGGATCTGCGTGAACAAAGGCACTACACAAGGAAGCGTCAGTGGCCCCTATTTATTTAATATATTCATGAATGATCTGCAAACAGATCCGGACTCTGACTCCTTGTTGTTCAAGTATGCAGATGACTCCACTCTAATCATTCCGGTTTGGAAGGGTGATAGTGATGGTAATACTGCTGCTCGTGTAGTTAATAACTTTACAGAATGGTCTGAACGATAATTCCATGAAGTGTAATTTCTCTAAATGTAAAGAAATGGTTTTCCGAAAGAAGGGCTACAAAAATGTATTAGACACAGTACAGAATATCCCCCAACATTCGCATCTATGTATTTAGGGGGTTGCATTTCATGAAAATTGTAGGTTCTCTATTCACATCAAGAATAAGTTGGCCGCAGCTAATAAATGCCTATATATTCTTAGAACTCTTTGGAGGGAGGGTTATTGTCAGGCAGAGTTGGATAAATTATTCAGCGC